AAATGGAAAAAAAAAACCAAAACAAAAAAGGGGCGGAGCCTTTATTGGGGGAGGGGCCAAGGGTGGGGGAGGGGCGGCCACGCCCCCCCGGGAGCTGACCCCGCCCACCTTCGGGTGGGGGAGGGGCGAATTGTCCCATCCCCCCTTTGGGGTGGGGGAGGGGCTGACCCTTCTCAGAGGGGGAGGGGCCGAACTTGTTTTGGGTGGGGGAGGGGTTATGTGGGGGAGGGTCAGCCCCCCGGTGTGGGGGAGGGGTCAGCCCCCGGTGTGGGGGAGGGTCAGCCCCCCGGTGTGGGGGAGGGGTCAGCCCCCGGTGTGGGGGAGGGTCAGCCCCCCGGTGTGGGGGAGGGGTCAGCCCCCGGTGTGGGGGAGGGTCAGCCCCAGCAGATCTCGGTGTGGGGGAGGGGTCAGCCCCAGCAGTGGGGGAGGGGTCAGCCCCAGTTGACGTCGCTGTCAGTGGGGGGAGGGGTCAGCCCCAGCAGTGGGGGGAGGGTCAGCCCCCGGTGTGGGGGAGGGGTCAGCCCCAGCTGACGTCGCTGTCAGTGGGGGGAGGGGTCAGCCCGGTGTGGGGGAGGGTCAGCCCCAGTTGACGTCGGCGTCCCCCTCCCCCAGCGGCAGCACCTTGGCCACCACGCCGGTGCCGATGGTCCGGGAGCCGTCCCTGAGGGTGAAGCGCTGCCCCCGCTCCAGCACCATGGGCTGCCGCAGCAGCAGCGCCAGCGCCGCGTCCTCGCCCGGCATCACCAGGTCCTGTGGGGCACAAACGTGTGGGGTGAGACCCACAGATCCCGTTAGAGGGACCCCAAAAACCCCACAGACCCCACAGCCCCCCAGCACTGCCCCCCCATGGGATGCCGCAGCAGCAGCGCCAGCGCCGCGTCCTCGCCCGGCATCACTAGCTCCTGTGGGGCAGGAGAGACCCACAGATCCCGTTAGAGCAGCCCTATAGATCCCATAAACCCCACAGACCCCATAGATCCCGTTAGAGGGACCCCAAAAACCCCACAGATCCCAGAGATCCTGAAATCCTGTAAACCCCACAGATCCCCCAGCGCCGCGTCCTCGCCCGGCATCACCAGCTCCTGGGGGGCACAAATGTGTGGGGTGAGACCCAGAGACCCCATAGATCCTGTTAGATCAGCCCTATAGATCCCATAAACCTCACACATCCTATAAATCCTGTAAACCCCAAGGCCCCCCAAATACCCCCCCAGCCCCCCCAGACCTTGCCGGGGGGCAGCAGCACCCTGCAGGCGATGTCCCACGTGTGCGAGAACATGACGGGCGCGTAGTGGGACACGAAGGGTTTGTGGCGCCCGCCCTCCTGCGGGGACAGCACGTACACCTGGGGGGGAAAGGGTTAACAGCTGGTCTGGGGGTGCCCCAAATAACCCCAATCCTGCCCCAAATCCTGCCCCATATCCACCCCCCCATAATCCTAAATCCTGCCCCACAAACCCCAAATCCTGCCCTAAATCTGGCCTCGTATCCAGTCCCCCATAACCCCAAATTCTGCCCCCAAACCCTGCCCCCCACGACCCCAAATCCTCCTCCAAATCCTGCCCTAAATAACCCCAACTCCTGCCCCGCATCCTGCCTCACACAACCCCAAATCCTGCCCCAAAACCTGTCCCAAATCCTGCCCCAAATAATCCCAATTCAGCTCCAAATCCTGTCCCACATAACCCCAAATCCTGCCCTAAAACCTGTCCTAAATCCTGCCCCAAATCCTGCCTGACATAACCCCAAAGCCTGCCCCAAATCTTGTCCTAAATCCTGGCAAACATATCCCAGACCTGCCACAAATCCTGCCCCAAGTCCTGCCCCCCAAATAACCCCAAACCCTGCCCCAAACCCCAAATCCAGCCCCAAACCCCAAACCCAGCTCCAGCCTGGCCCACCTGCGCCTCCACAACCCCAAACCCTGCCCCAAACCCCAAATCCTGCCCCAAATAACCCCAAATTCTGCCCCAAATAACCCCAAATCCTGCCCCAAATAACCCCAAATCCAGCCCCCCAAACCCCAAACCCCAAACCCTGCCCCCAGGTGCCCTGGCCCACCTGCGCCTCCACCTTCTGCTGGGGCTGCAGCGTCCCCGGCTGCGCCACGACCATGCCCCGGCGCACGTCCTCGCGCCGCAGCCCCCGCAGCAGCGCCCCCAGGTTGTCCCCGGCCTCGGCCACCTCCAGGCTCTTGTGGAACATCTCAATCCCTACAAAATGTGGGGTTTGTGGGGTTTGTGGGGTCTATGGGGCAGGGTTGGGGCTCTATGGGGCAGGGTTCAGGCTCTATGGGGCAGGGTTTGGGCTCTATGGGGCAGCAGCGCCCCCAGGTTGTCCCCGGCCTCGGCCACCTCCAGGCTCTTGTGGAACATCTCAATCCCTGGGAAATACAGGATTTATGGGGCTGGATGTGGGGATTCTGGGCTCTATGGGGCAGGGTTCAGGCTCTATGGGGCAGGGTTCAGGCTCTATGGGGCAGCAGCGCCCCCAGGTTGTCCCCGGCCTCGGCCACCTCCAGGCTCTTGTGGAACATCTCAATCCCTAAAATA